CAGAGGTTGTTAGTACATTTATAAATTTACCTCTTACTCTGTGGCTGCAACATAACTCTCTTCTTTCTATAATCTCTCTTGTCCAATTATTAAAACCATAAATCGTTTTTTCATTTTTTTCTGTTTTACGCAAAAAAGTCCATAAGGGGTTTCCAGTCAGCAATAAATGTAGATATCCCAACATTCTCAGCAGGTAGAGCTTGATGCAATCCATGCTTCTATGAGGAGATTGCCTGCCACTGTGGAACCCACTGAGGACCCTCCTGAAGAAGACCCGCTTTATGCTTCCCCAGATTAATTGCTGCTTGACAGTGCCCAGTGCCATATTAACAATGGCAGCACATGCTACAACAACTTAAGTAGTTCTTTCCCCTTTTGGTCTTGTATCACAGGTGTTAGATTCTAAATCCGTAGAATCCTCTCCTGGTCTTAAACTGGAGTGTCGCTACATGGCTCTGCATAGATTGATTCAGTATTGTGTTGTCCTTAGGACAAGAAGTGGAGATTGTGAGAGGAAAATTTTAGTAGCCTTCTATATGTTTTAATGTTAGTTTTGATTGCGTTTGATAAAGCCAGGTTAGCTTCTTGTGACCTGTAGGGCAATGACAGGAAAAGCCAGATGCAAGACTAAGCAACTTGCTGATGGGAATAGAACAGGAAGGTACGGTAAAATTAGCACCAAGGGCGTTACGAATCAGTTGCTAAACCTAGGAGTCGTGTCTGTGGTTTGTGGTTTTAAAGGATAAAAAGGATTGCATCTGAGGGGGTCGGGACCATTTTGGTCAAGCTGTCTACCTGACGGCTCAATTAAAATGGTCACGACATTGCAATGTGAATCTAAGTAGGTACCATGTATGCTATTGGTTGAATTTTACTTGCCTGTTGAACTAACATTTAATAAAGCTTTTAGAACTTTGAAGTGACTTGTTTTGTGGTGTGTCTGCCTCCCGTGTTTAACGTGGTTTTTCCCCTGACACCACCTTTGTGCATACAATAATCTCGCTGCAGTTATCATGTACAAAAACAAAGTTCCATGCCTTTTTTCCAGTTGTTTGTCATTTGGAGCAGTGTTTCTCAATCTTGGCAACTTTAAGATGTGTGGACTTCAACACCCAGAATCCCCCAGCCAGCATGCTAATGAACTTTAAGATGTGTGGACTTCATGCTGGCTGGGAAATTCTGGGTGTTGAATCCACACCACATGCTAAGGTTGAGAAACACTGGCCTGGAGCATGCAGAAGGGTAGGCCCTTTGCACAAGATCAAGAAATACAATAGTATGCTAAAGCAGCTGTAAAAATATGAGCAAACACACCCAGCACTGGCTTCAGAATACTGATATATTCAAACATCACCATGATGCATATTTTCAACCTTTTTTACACAGTCCCAGAAAGGAAAAGCTCCTGTTTCAGTGTAATAGATCTCTCCAATTAGTTCTACGATTTCAGAATTTGTTTTACTGTATCAGCTATGCAGCTCCAATTTTTTCTCAGCATCCTTGGCCATTGCTTTGCTAGATTCTGAAGAGAAAACAGACTTTCCTAGGATTGCTACTTTGGCCTGGGAGCCTCTAGATGAGATTGGCTTGGGGTGACAGGCTTGCAGTGTTCAGATCAGGCCCTTGCTGGCTCAGGGAGTCTGCCTGATGCTTTGAGGCAGCCTTCCCAATGTGGTGGAAGGGCTGGGGTGGATGGGAATTGAGGTCCATAACAACTGGGATTACACAGGGCCAAAGAACTCTATCTGTTACGTTTTACTGTGTTGTAAAAGTTCTTTGCAAGCCACAGCAACATTCAGTAAAATACTTTCTTTCCATTCAGTTGGAAATACAGTAAGCAGATGTTACTTGCCACGGGTTAGTATGCAGTACTTAAAGTTATGGAGTCCTTGGTGCGCTCTGAGCCGGGCGGCTGGCTTGCAGACGTTTCATTACCCATCAGTGCTGATGATGTTACCTAGTCCGGTCATGAAATGTCTGCAAACAAACAAACAAGCTCAGAGAGCACCAAGGACTCCACAGTTCAACCCTGAGCTACAGAGATTCTCTTCTACTGGAACTTAAAGTTATATCGTGTGTGCTTTGTGATGCTGTGTGAGATACATTGCTCTTCATTTGCTCACAGTAGTGTCACTCTGCTGTTGAGTCAGAATGCTGGATCAGGTCACTCAGATCCCACAGTTGCTAGCCATGTACCCCTGCAGGAAGACTCACTTGTTCCCAGCAACTGGGGCTGAGAGGCACCTGTTGCCTCTTGTCTTGCATTGGGCATTTAGCCCCCGCGATACCTGTAAATAAATATACAAATGTTAAAGAGTTGTTTACAGCCATATCTTCCACAGATTGCCAAATCTTTTTCTAAAGCCACCTGAGCTGGCACCTGCTGTTTCATCTTGTCATAGCAATTTCCATAGTTTGGCTTCCTTTTTAATTTATGTAATTTATTCTCTTTTTTTAATCTTGCATTTTTTCTTCAGCCAAATGAGGCTGCTAACCTCCATATGACTCAGAGAGTGATTTTTGCGAGTCACTGAGAGTCTTTGTGATTGTGGCTGGATATCCATTTCATGAATACATAAATAAACAATAGATAAATAGCTTGCACAAAGTGAGCAGAATTCCAAGATAATTTTTCCCTTTCCCTTGGCCTCCCCCTCTTTTCTCTCCTTTTTTGGGGCAGGACATTCTGGAAGGTGGGAACTTGTGGAATGCTCTCCAGGAACTGCAGCAGATCATCACCACACCCATCAAAGCCTTCCATGCTCTGCAGGCCGCGGCAGCATCCAAGGAAGCCGCTGAGCCACGTGGAGGTCCCACGCTGGGCTTGGAGAAAAGCAGCAACAGCACCGAGGACAAGGAAGCCACCGATGACCCCTTCCCACCCCCAACAGGCTCTCCATGCGATGGAGAATCCGGAGCAGCGCCTATCGCTGAAGGGGACATTGCCGGGCAGTTCACTCGCGTGATGGGTAAAGGTGCGTTTTCTGGGATGGCATCAAGCACTTTGTACTCTCCCCCCAGCAACCGGGATGGGCTACACTGACTTTTTCAGCAAGACCTTCAAGAAAGCTGGAGTTTGTGAGGTGTGCCGTGGGTCTGTGTCCACTTAAGGAACGATCTATTCTCGCACTCTACCCTTTGTGTTCACAGAGTTTGGAGGATTGGTGTGGCTGTTTCCAACAGTGATGTTTCTTATTGTTCCTTTATGCTGAACTTGCAGTGGGGTTTTTCAGTGGGGGAGCTTTGGTGTAAGCCTCCAGGAGTTACTTGATTTTAGTGGTATATACATTAAATAAACAGTGCTACTGGAAGAGCTCTGATTTCTTAGGTAACCATTCCACCTTTCCTCTTACTCTCTTGCAGTGTGTACGCAATTGCTAGTCTCCCGGCCAGATGAGGAGAACATCACTAGTTACCTCCAATTGATAGAAAAGTGCTTGATGCACGAGGTAGGCATGGGCGTTACGGGGCCCTAGAGGTCGATGTCCTGAGAATGCTGGCTCTTTCCATCCTTTCCCAACATGGCTGCCTTCCTGTCCCCCTCCCTCAGGCCTTCACAGAGACCCAGAAAAAGAGGCTGTTGTCTTGGAAGCAGCAAGTACTGAAGTTGCTCCGTACCTTCCCAAGGAAGGCTGTGCTGGACATGCAAGGCTATCGCCCCCAGAAGGGGTAGGTCTCTGGGCACCAGAGTGGGCACAAGGAGCTTTCTAGGCTAATTGAGTAGAGCTGTAGTCTTTTTTCAGTGAACTGGGGAAAAAAACCCTGATTGTCAGCCCTGTGAGATTGACAAGGCTAAGATACAGACACCGTGCAGACCTAAAGCTACTTTTATTAGAACGGCTGAAGTAAGAGACTCTTGCAAGTCTGAATGTGCTCCCCTTCCTCCCTCTTTTATCTTCTTGTGAATTGGGTGGCGGGGGGTACTGTCTGAGGTGTTTTTGCAAGCCTCTTTGTCGGTCAGGCTCAGGGCTCATTTTTCTGATAATTGCCTTGGCAACGGATCTTCCCTCTGTCCTTCAAGGCCATCTCAGTTGCCTGTTTCGCAGAGTGCTGCCTTGGGAAGGGTCAGAATAGAGCTGGATCTGGAAGTGCTGAACGTCCATTCACGTAGGAGTCATTCTCCCGCAGGACAGGGAGCTCTTTTATTTTAAAGAGACGCCTCTGCGTGAGCAGAGGAAATTCAGCTCCAGAAAAGGACTCGGGGGCTTTCAGAGCTTTTTGAGCAGCCGTTGTGCTAGCTAATATTATGACAAGCAAAGGGTGAGTTTTGATGGCATTGCCAGTCTGTGGTGTCAGCCTGCCAGGCAAATGACAGTTCAAGAATCCTTTGGGGGAAGGATGGAACCAGATTACCGTCAGAACTATTTCCGAAGTCACCAGCTTAAACTCATAAAGCCTGGGAGGTTTGCTGCTTATGGCTTGCATCATGAATTTAATTAAACAATAGAAATGGATTTCGCTCTTTGCTTCAAAATGACTGAGAGGGGTTGTGTTTTTTTTGGTTAAACTAATCCTTTCATATTTAAGGGAAGCTGTCACTTCCGTAAAGAACCTGCAAATGCGCCTGCTATTGTGATGCTGCAGTATGGAAATTCAAACTGCTTGCTTTGGGTCATTTTTGGAAAAGCCAGGGCTTAGTTGACACATCCCTATTCAGAGAGAAGAGGTTTTGCGTGGGCTTCCTTACAGCTCCTAGCTGGGATCTGCTTAGCTAACTTTGCTCTTTCCCTTTGCGGCTTGGGGGGGGTCAGTCCTCCTCTCGGCTGGCCACCGTCAAATGTAAGCGAAAGAGAAAGGGCAGCTTGGCTCCCACTGTGGTGTTCCTCTCAAGAAGGTCTCAATACCTAGGTCGCATTCAGATAAGTGTTGAGGGTTTGGCATGGGGGCGCTCTGTGGCTGTTGCCCCCCGCCGTGCTAGGATGTCAGGTGGCTAAGGAGGCCTCTTAGATCTGTCCTGTCCTTTGTGAAATACCTCGACAGTGATGGAGGGTGGGGCAGAGGAAGGCTTCCGAGGGGCTAAGCCACTTGAGGGAGGTGGCCGTTCTTCTGAGCAGAGAGAGCTGCTTTAATTGTTTGGGCTCGCTTTGGATGTCTGGGTTAAGCTGCAACAAGCAGCGTTGCTTTGGTGGCAAGTTATGACCAGGATTCCAGACACAATGATCAGAGGTGGGATTAACTTCCTCTCCCTGTATTTTTCCAGATGGGCCTTTGGTTCTAACTCTCTCCCCATAGCTGGATCTGTGGGGGTGGGAGTGGCCCGCCGAGGACAGAGGCAGTTCCAGATGCCCCCCCGTGCTATCCCCCCAAGCCGCATGGGGATCCTTAGTCCCGTGGGGATTGGTGGAGTCTCTCCGCGGCACGGACTGGCCAGCCCAAATCTGGGGAGCCAAGGTCGGCAGGTAAGATCCAGTTGAGTTCTTCCAGCAGAACAGTACCTGAATGCATCGGAAAGATTGTTGCAGGTGAAGAGGTGCCTTGACTGGGAGAGGGTTGGGAAGAATCTTCAACCCACCCCCCATGAACCCATCCCCTGCTCTCTGCTCACTTAGCATAAAAGGGACCTGCCTTTCTCCACTACAGCAGAGAAGCCTCTGTAGACGACCTCTCATCTTCTGCCACGTGCAGTTCTTTCAGCCATCCAGGTTACTCGTCTCTGGGATGAATTGTTTCTCTTGCTGCTGTGGCCCCATTCTGGCTGAGGTCCTTGTAGGATGAAACGGAGGAGGCTTGCTAGTGGCATGCGTGCTTGACTTTCCCTATGGAGTTAGCAGTGGTCTCCTTGATGCCGCTGTGATGAACAGATGTGTTCAGCTTGGCCCTTATCACGTGGGCTCCACCTCCCTCCTGTTTCTTCCCTTGCCCTGCCGCAGAGAGGTGAGCGGGGGGTGAGAGGCTTTGCTTCTCAGAGAGATCCTACGCCAATGAGCTTCTCTCCTCTCCCATAGAATCTGTGGTTTGCCAATCCCGGTGGCAGCAACAGCATGCCTGGCCAGAATCGCAGCTCAGTCCAGCGGACCCATTCGCTGCCCGTTCACACCTCCCCTCAGGCTATCCTCATGTTCCCACAGGGTGAGTAAGCAGCGCGTCTGCATGTCAGCTGAATAGCAGGCATCTTGCTTCGTTCTGCGGCATGTAATTTCTTAGAAACGCTACTTTTGGGATCTGAGTTTCAATCCTGGAGGACCAGCCTTTCCTTAAAGGTCTTGGGCAAGTGTCTGTAAAGTGCTTTCTCCTCATTTTTAAGGAACTGTCACCATTCTCTTCCTCTTTTCTCTCCCCATTCCTTTCAAATTTGGGACGGAGCAAATCCAAATTTGGAGCATCCATATTTCACCGTGGCCCTTAAGCACTAGCCAAGAGCTGTGTCATCTCCCCTGTGGAATGCTGGAACCACCCATGGCCCTGCCTGATGGTTCAGTTGATCTTTCCTCTAACCTCTCAGATTGCCAGCTCCCTGGAACGGATCTGGAGATCAACCCCACATTGGAGTCACTGTGCCTGAGCATGACGGAGCACGCGCTGGGCGGTAAGCAACTCTGGGCTTACCAGATTGTGAGAATACATTTGGTTTGCCAAAGGCAGGCCTGATGTGGGTTTACCTGAAAGCAAACATGGAAGGTGTTGCGGTTCTTGTTCACGTGTTGAACTAGAATGGGGGAGACCCATGTTCAAGCCCACTCTTGGGCACAAAGGCCCAAGGGGAAGTCTTGGGCCAGTACTTTCATTCAGCCTGGTCTACCTCACAGTTATTGTTGACAAAAATTAGAAGTGCCATGTATGCCAACTTGAGCTTCTGAAGGAAAAGAAGACATCAATCTAAGTAATAGATCCATAAAATGACTATCTTTGTGTCATCTGGGGCAGGTGGCCAAGGAATTGTAAATTCCATTAATGAGAAACTCAGCAAGCACCTTGGTTTTCATAGACAACCTGTTTTTCTTCCAAGGCTCTGGTAGAAAGGGATGATCTGAATGGCAACCTTGCCAGTCAGGGGTCATGTGACTTTTCCTGAAATGGACCTTCCAGCACCCTGCGAGGCCAACCCAGGATAGGTGACTGGTCAGCTTCTGACACTGTTCAGCCTCAGAAAGAACAGATTGTTCAGCCTCAGGTTGTCTGACAGCTGAGCTGCGGCTGCCATCATTCCTCACCATGGCTAAAGCTGCTGGGAACTGAGTAGCAGCTGGAGAGCTGCCTATTAAAGTGGCCTTGGTCACCCCGAGGGATAGCTTGCTTCCAGGGAGAGAGGAGAGAAATGAACCTGTGAGGTTCCTGGAGTTCTCAGCTGCTTCTGTTACCAGCAACTGTAGCGTCTGGTCTTAGTGGACTAGTTGGTTTCTGCTCCTGTGTATAAAGCAGATTTCAGAAGAATTTCTGTTCCGTTGCTTGGCTTCCAAGGGATAGGTTACTGTGTGATTCTGCTGTATCTCCTGGGCTGTTTAACATCTGTATGAAATTGCTAGGTGAGGCCATCATGGATTTAGAGTCAGGCATCATCTACATACGATGATACCCACTCTTCTCATTGCCGAACTCAGGCAAAGCTGTGCAAATGCTGAAATAGTGTCCTTGGGCTTGATGAGGACAAATGCATTGAAACTGAATTCTGGCAAAATGAAGGGTCTATAGCAGAGTTTCTCAACCGTGCCAGCTTGAAGTCCACACCTCTTCAAGTTGCCAAGATTGAGAAACACTGGTCTATAGATTGGCAGTTCTCAAGTCCGCAGGTTGGTTAATTATCCTCCCCCGAGTGGGGTTGTCCCTTAAGGAGGCCACTGAAACTCAAATTACCTCAACAGCCCAGAGTTGCTAGGGACCACTCCAGTTGGCCCAGTGGCTGGGCAAGGATAACTTGACCACAGGGTCAGCCACATGCTGACCAGACTTCAGGGACCAGAGCTAAGACCTTAGTACATTTTGTATGGAGCACCTTTTTGAAGATGCTGTGTTTTTATTGTTTACTTGCTGTTTTCATTGTTCACGCTGCTGATTTCGGGCAGGTTAGAAATGTTTAAATGAATACAAGTCGCTGGGGCAAATTCTCCTCCTCCCTGATAGATACTAGGTACGGTTGAAGGCCGGGCTTATAAAGGTTCCTAAGAGCAGTTAAAAGCATCTTCTCCTGTCCATTGCGTCCTCAGGGCCTTATTTAATCCTTTTAATTTGAAGGCGATTTGGGGGTCTGTAGGAAGAGCTTCAGAAAGCAGAACTGGAGAGTCACATTCCTTGCTGTAAAGGTGGGTGGGTGGGTGGATGGATATTTAAAGTCTGTGCAAAGAATGCTCTGACCTCTCTTCAGATAAGGCCTTGTGTACATTTTCCCATTTCCACCCAACATGAGAAGACTCGAGGATTCCCAGGACATCAAAGCCCCTCCGTGTTGAATAAAAGCCTGTGACCTGTGAACGTGGCAGCCCGCTCACGTGCTGCCATCTTACCCACGTTCTCTCTTTGCAGATGGCACCGACAAGACCTCCACCATTTGAAAAAGCTGGATCTGCTGGCATTCCTGAGAAGCTTTAGGATGGCTGTTTATTTTTCTCCTCCCACTCCTTTTTTTTTTTTAACCCCTTCCCCCAGGGGTATGTTGCTATGGGGGTAGGTGAATCATTTTTTTTCCCTCTGACCTCCAAACCTTCTCCAGCATTCCTTAGCAGCCAGAGGGATAGGGGAGAAAAAGCTGTCACTACAATCTTACCATCTTATTGTGTTCTAATATTTTTCTATTTTTTATTATTCTTATAACTTCAGATATTGGTTTAATATTTTGATGTACATGGGAGTTGGCAGTCTCCCCAATTTAACTTACAAAGGCAGACGCCTAAATTAGGCCATATATACCGTAATTCCTTTTCCAATCTGGTTTCCCTCTCTTCTCCTCCAGCAGCCACCTCCTCCCCATCTATCTCCCTCCCTCCCTCCCTCCGGCCTAAGAAAGGAACAGGGAGTGAAATCCAAGGTGACCCCTTAGCAGAGTCAGACTCGCACTGAAGAACCCATCAGCACCAGGATTTGAGGGGGGCGAGATGGGGTCATCAGGGCAAACTGAGCAACTTCACTGGTAGTTTTTGGTCTCTGGCTTTGGAGGGGAAGTCAGAGGGATAGGGAGGAGGACGAGGAGGAAAAGCATGCAGCAGGTGACTCGTGAAATTTTAAAAGTGCCTCTAATACTTGCTTCTACCAAGAGTGGTGGGGGGGGGGACAAGGGAATGGCACAGGAAGTGTGTGGGTGTCTAGTACACAATTGGTGTTCATTTTCTTTTAGTGCTAACGAAGCAATGTCCATGGGTGATCTCTTTGAGGAACTGGACAGAGTAGCTGATGAAGGTTTAAGAGGACCCTCTTAGCCATCTCCCAGACGTGGGAAATGTATCACTAATGTGGGATTTTTAACCCCCTCAGTTACTGCCCCTGAGACTTTTTTTTTTTTTAAATGGGGCAGTATTAAGCCTAGTTCTGTTGAAGCAGTTCCAGTGGATTGGGGGATCACCAGTTTGAGTTTCAGAAGCCGAGTTCTCAGTTGAACTGATTTGGGTTCCTGGTATAGATGCCAGATTCTTTTCTCCCCCTGTAATCGTGGAGGGGGCAGGGAGGGGGTAAGGGATTGGGACATCTATGGAGAATCTCCAAACATCGGTCATGAATTTTCTCTAGTTCTTCAGTAGTTTGGGTTGGATAATTGTCTTCCTTTGTTGAAGGGCGATGGGGAGAGCGTGAAGGTAGTCAGAGCAGACTGATCATAGCCAAACCCTGGTGACCTGGTGACAGGGACCATTCCCACTACCCAGTTTCCTGGTACGTAGCAAGAACTAGGTTGAGGAGCATGTGGGGCACATGGGGTGAATGAATTTGGAAAGCAGGCTGGTGTCTCCTGGGGAAGAAGCATTTGATCGGATGCTAGGATGTAAGGTGATCCAGGAACCAGGATCATCCCCGTTAATTGAGGCTGGGAGGGGAGGAAAGACTTTGGACATGCATCCAGGTGGGCTAGAAGATTTGGGTGAGGGTAGGGGGCAGGAAGCCCTGTTTCTGTGGGATTGCATTTTCCTGGACACTACAGGGGTTGAGGGCACTGGGGTGGGAGGCTTTCTTCACACATCTTCTCCAGCCAGTCTGCACCGCCTTGTTTACGTTTTCCTAGTTTCGAATAGCTTTACTGCAGAAGGGAGAGGAGGACGTTGCTACCACCCTGCCTCTCCCACTTTTCCAGAGGGGGCAGTCCCAGGAAATGAAGGGGGGGGGCTTGTATTTGGAAACAAAGACCGGCCTTGCTTTTTTATAGCAGGACCAGGTAAGCAGGGTGAGACACCGAGCCCGGACTTCCAGGGTGAGTGTGGGTGTAGGGGCAAGGCAGGTTTGTCCAGTTGGGGGGGGGCTGGAGGGAGCCCGCCCGCCTGCCCCCCCAACTGCGCTTGGCGTGTCTGCTGCGGGTGGCGGCATCTCTCCCCCACCCACACTCTTTGCAAGGAGGGGGGTGTTCCCCGTCCACCGGCGTCGGCCAGCTCTTAGGTACAGACGACCTCTCGCCGTCTTCCCTTTCTTCTTTCACACCCTCGAGAACTGTTTGAAGTATAAAAGCCTTTTTCCAAAGTGTATACCGAAGAGTAGCGTACAGAAAAACAAACCAGACAGAACTACTGTATTTCTAAAAAGTAGAGAGACAAGGTTCCTGTTTGAAATAGAAATGTTATTTTAGATACATTTTATTATGAATAACTTTTGTTATGACTATGGCTGGTAACCATGAATACGTTATTTAAAAAAAAACACACACAAAATGTTTTACAAAAAAAAAAATCAAATTCTGACTTTAGACTGCTTTGTTGGACTCCTTTGCTGCTTTCCCCTTCTGGTTTTTTGCTTTGTAAAAGGCATATACAGAACTTAAGCATTAGTCCTTTTTTATTAACCTCTATGATAAAGCTGTGCTTATTTTGTATTATTTTTTTAAGTGCTTGGTTCTTTGGGGATGGGGGGCCTCGACCCAGCGCTGTATTTCCTCTTGCTTAGGTTAATGGAAGCGGGGGGGAGTCAGCTGCTAAAAGATTGGCTCACCCTATCGCTCGCATCCCCAGAATGGTGAGCTTTTTCGGATTAATCAAATCATGCAGATTTCCTCCACCTGCCTTTAGCGCCTAATGGGGGTCGCGGGGGGAAGTATTTAAAGGTGGTGGGTCTGACCAGTGTTTCTCAACCTCGGCAGCCTGAAGAGGTCTGGACTTCAACTCCCAGAATT